GCACACGCACACGCACACGCACACGCACACGCACACACACACACACAGCCCTCAACTGAGGCCAACAAGAACAGGCTGGAGCCACCCACTCAGGAACAGATGCACCCACCCCAGAGTGTCTGAAGGTGAACTGTGCTCATTACACTACTAACACACCCCTGGTGAAGACTTACGGCAATGAAATATGCAATAAATGAAGTCATGTGCAGAACAACATGGAACAGAGCATGCACAAGAAAGCCCACAGGATGCAAACGACCTCAAAAATGCATGTACTATAATAGCCTAAACGTCAAAAGCCTCAGTGCAGTATTTGCTGCTTTCTTCTTCTCCGAAGCAAACCTGTTTGCAGTAAACCACCCCTGCTTGGCTATTATCAATGTGGCTCTGTCCAGTTCTTTGTTCCAGGACACAGGACCTGGAAGTCCTCTGGAGATGCCCATTAAACCCCCTATTTGCTTATATTGTACCCTTACTTCCTCATTTGTGTGAATGTTTTTTTATTTTTCCTTTAAATCCAATTTAGGAAATGACAACAATGGGACAGGGTTCCCTAACTCAGTCCTATTTAGGGGAAAGGTTATAAAATGGCACACCCTCAGAGGAAGGGATGATTCTGAGACTCAAGTCAGTGGAAGAAGGCTAAAATCATCACACAGGGCTGGAGTTACAGACAGTTGTGAATCATTCATCGTGTTGGTTGGCAGTGGGGATTCGAACCTGGGTCCTCTGGAAAAGCTGCCAGTCCTCTTAACCCATGAGCCATCTCTCCAGCTCCAACCATGAACTGCCACTAGTCCTCAAGTTCCTCTAAGACCAATGAGACCCTGCCCTACTAACTCCTACCCCACCCGTGATGAAATGTTGAGGAACCCAATCTTTTCTTTCTTTCTTTCTTTCTTTCTTTCTTTCTTTCTTTCTTTCTTTCGTTCCTTTTTAAAGACAGGGTTTCTCTGTGTAGCCCTGGCTGTCCTGGAACTTATAAACCAGACTGACCTCAAACTCAGAGATCTGAGTCTGCCTCTGCCTACCAAGTGCTGGGATTAAAGGCCTATTGCCACCACATCCTGCTGAGGGACCCAATCTTATGCTGGTCTTGTGCAGATAACCACAGTGCATTCGTTCCTCGGTGCAGCAGCCTTGCTATGGTCAGAGGATATCTTACAGCTGTGCCTTTTCCCATCCTCGGGCTCTTAGGAGGGATGCAGTTGTCCTCATAGGTTTGAGTCCTCTGCTATCATGTCTCTGTTGCACATTGTTCAGTTACGGTTTCTGCATTAACTGCCGTCCACTACAGTAAAAAGCTCGAGTGAAGGCTGGGCAGGACACTAATCTATGGATATACACATGAGCATTTAGAAGGCATGAGGATAAACTCTTACAGAATACCTAACATGTTCAGGCTTTGTGGCTGTCTTTGGAGAGACTGGATTCCAGTTTCTATGACTCAAGTAGGGAAAGGCTTTCCGGTTTCTAAGGTTTGCATCAGAGGAGGAAGTGTGAGAGCCTGGAGGCCGGCAAAAGGTCAGGGAGAAACATGGCTGCAGAAGTCTTCATTTGCAGCTACCTTTTTCCAAACTCTCTCCATGTTAAACTCTCTCCACACATCCAGCCCCTTGTTTTCTGAACTCACATTTCTCCCTGAGTCTCATTTCCAAGGATACACCCAGGTTCCGTTGTAGCAGTTACTCTGATCAACTGCAAGCCTCTTCGTTGCTCTTTGCACCCTAGGTACTTATGTTAGTTTCAAGGGCAGCCAGGCTCTGGCCCTACAGCATCTTTATTTGCATCCTATCATACTATTGACTTTTCTGGTTACTGAGACAAAATACCTAACATAAGCAAGTTGAAGAAGGAAGGAGTCGGAGCATGGAGCTGCTGATTGTTTTGTGTCCGCAGTCAACAAGCACTGGGAGACGAATGCTTTGGCCCAGTGCCGGTTCTCCTAACCCATAGCCCATGGAATGGTGTGCTCACATATAGAGTAGTTCTTCCTGACTCACTTAATCTAATCTATACACGTTCTTACAAGACCCACCCAGAGGTTTATTCCCATGGTTATTCTTAAACCCATGAAACTGTCAATCAAGATTAGTTCTTAACCACTGAGACATCTTTCCAGCTCCCAAACGTCCCATTTTTCTTAACAGATTAGTTTGTAAGAAAGGAGACATAACCATGAGCACAGAAAAAAACATTTTTTTAGTTTTATTTACTTGTTTATCGTTTGGACTTATTTGTTTTATGTGTATGAATGTTTGGCCTGCATGTATATCTGTGCACCACGTGTGTGCCTGGTGCCGCTGGCCTAGAAAAGGGGACTGGGATTGAACCCCAGTTGTCTGTAAAAACAAGTGCTCCCAACTGCTGAGCCAGCTCATTTATTTATTTATTTATTTTTCTTGTTTGTTTGTTTATGAGACAGAGCCTAAAAAAATATAAATTAAAAAAAAGAAGAGACAGAGCCTCACTTTGTAGTTTAGGCTGATCTGAAACTCACTATATGCCCCCAAGATGGGTTGAACATTCAGCAAACTTACTGCCCCACTCTTCAGAGTGGCAGAATTTCAGGCATGAACTACCACCCTGGGTTTTCATGAATCAGTTTCTCTGTGGAGTCCTGGCTGTCCTGGAACTTGCTCTGTAGATCAGGCTGGCCTCTAAAGCAGAGATCGGCCTACCTCTGCATCCCAAGTGCTGGGATTAAAGGAGCACACTACCACTGCCAAACCACAAATAAATAAACCTTAAAAGCAATGTAACAAGCTGGTCATGTGATACCCATCTGTGATCCCAACACCTAGAAGGCTGAAGCAAGAGAATGAAAAGTTTAGGGCCAACCTGGGCTACATAGTGAGACTGTAGTTGAACCAACAAACAAAGCAACACGGCGATCTCTTATAAATCAGATTATAATTTAATGTATGTAGGTGCATTTAATAGTCAATTGAATGTCATAGTTTTACTTAGTAACATTTTGTTTCTTTCTTAATGGTACTTAAAAATATTGCCTCTTAACAATAAGTGGCACTTTAGAATCAAGAAAGTATGAAGTAATTAAACAGCAACTTGTTTTACACTGATGTAGAAATATCTGTCATCAAGACATGGGAAAGCCCCTTTTGTGTGCAGTTAACAATGTGAATATTTCTTCCCACCAAACTTGAGGGCATTGTTACAGTCATTGTCACTGTTTCTGCTTAGCTCAGGATCCACTTCCCTTTCTCAGGAAGGCGATACATTCTCAGCTGGCTCAGCAGCTTCACACACCAAACATTCAGATAACAGCTCAATAGCAGCCAGCTTATCCATTTCAGCCATCAGGTTTAAGGTGGGTGAACAAATGTCATATGGGCAGGGCATTAGAACAAAGGCACCTGTCCTAGTGTCCATAGAGACACAGAGTTTGAAGGGTCTTTTCAGAGAAACCAGATACCAAGGGGTCAAAGGGTATGGTCCTGAAGGGTCATTAGTTAGGGTTTCCATTACACCAAAAGCAACTAAACTATTTCTTCTTACAACTCTCAAGACACACTCTAGCACCTAAGGTTGGAACCTGGAGGTGGAGACTGAATCGGAACCCATGGAGGGGTGCTGCTTACTGACTTGCTCCTCATGTCATGCTCAACCTTCTTTCTTAAACAACTCAGGACCACCTGGCCAGCGGTGACACTGCCCACCGTGAGACCTGCCCCCAACATCAATCATAATCAAGAAAGCGCCCCACAGACTTGCTGACAGGCCAGCTGACGCAGACAGGTTCTCAGCTGAGGATCCTCTTCCCAGACGGCTCTAGCTTGTATCAAGCTGATAAAAATAACGAGGACAGATAGCAGATGAAACAGTGGGTTTCAGGGTGACATTTTTACATATAGCATTTGCATATATTTGCACATATCGTATTTCGCTCATATTCCCTCCCTCCCTCCCATTCCTCCCCCCCTCTATAAGATGGACTTGTGTATGGGAATACCTGCTAGCGATACTAGGAGTACAGATAATATTGTAAAGTACGTAGCGAGAAACGGGCACTCACAAAATCGTAATAAAATCAACTAGGCTATGAATGACTGAATGAGCTGCTGTTTGGATAAGGAACGTGGAACTTGTGGTTAACACACAGTGTCAGGACTGGAGAGATGGATCAGCGGTTAAAAGCACACACTGCTTTACAGAGAATCTGAGTTCGGTTCCCAGCACCCACCTTTGGGACTTCCTGGGATGTCCTCCTGTGAGACTAGCAAGTCCAGCATTCCGGAGGCTGAAGGCCAGCCTGAGGCCAGCCTAGACTGCATAGCAGGACCCTGTCACAAAATAACAAACACGGATCTCTTTTTAAAATCCTCTGAGCCAGGCAATGAGGTAGGAAGATGGTGACTAAAGAAAGTATACCCTGTTGGGAAGTGGTGGCTTTAGGGTTTTAGCACTTCTGAGGCAGAAGCAGGTGGGTCTCAGTGAGTTCAAGGCCAGCCTAGCCTACAGAGCTCTAGTTACAGGACAGCCAGAGTTACACAAAGCTTGTCGCGAAAAGAAAGAAAGAAAGAAAGAAAGAAGGAAGGAAGGAAGGAAGGAAGGAAGGAAGAAAGAAAGAAAGAAAGAAAGAAAGAAAGAAAGAAAGAAAGAAAGAAAGAAAGAAAGAAAAGAAAAGAAAAGAAAAGAAAGAAATCAAACTAAAAGTGTATGTGGAGTGGAATGAGGTGCTGCAGGCCTGGACCAGCGCCGCATCCAGGAGTCAGACCTCTTGTGTGGGTGGGGCCTGCAGAGATCCCGCCCCGGCCACGCCCCATACCGCCGCAGCTCCGCCCCAGTCCCCTGACTGCTCACTCCCAGCTCGCCCTGTGAACCCTGCTTCCCTGCTCGGCCGGCCAGAGTGACCGAGCAATCGTCCAGATCCCTCGGCGACACCATGTTGGGAATGATCAGAAACTCGCTGTTCGGCAGCGTAGAGACGTGGCCTTGGCAGGTTCTGAGTACCGGGGGCAAGGTAGGCCCGCATGGCTGCATAGAACCGGAGGACTGCGCAGCCGTCCCCACCCTGGCCCGGGTGGAGCCGGGGTTGCAGGGCTATGGGTGGGACTGACTGTGACCAAGCTGCGTTCCTGCTGGGGCAGGCGCTGGCCCTGGGAAGGAGGGGAGAACGCGGTCGGGCTCGGCTAGAGCAGGTCAGGAGAAAGGATCCATCTGGGCGAGCGGGACACCGCCTGTTGAATGCCTTCGTCCACTTAAGCATTCTAAACCGCCTGAACTTTCTCCTCTCTTAGCACAGAGACCCACTCTGTCCCAGGCTGGCCTGGCACTAGCTGTGTAATCCAGACTGGCTCTGAATTCTGTGGCAATATTCCTGCCTCAGCCTCCCGGGTGTTAGGGTTACAGGCTTGAGTCGCCATGCCTGGCTACATTCTGAACAATTTTGTTTGCAAGAGGCTTGGTTGCAGAGTGACTGACAGAACGAGCGCAGAACGACTGACCACCCCCCCCCCCAAAAAAAAAAAAACTAGCAAGCAAAAACAAAGCAAACAGCAACAAAATGCAAAATAGGAATAGAAACGGAGTGTGCTGCAGGCGTGTAGGTTTGGGCGTGCAGGCTCCTGCTAGGGAGCCACCAGGGACCCTTCAACCTGTCTTGGCTGTGCAATGCAGCGTGTGTGGGAGTCCACAGTCAGGAGCGTGCTCGGAGGCTCAGAGCTATGCGGTTGCTCATGGCTTATGGAATTGTTCGTGTTGGATGTGTAGAATGCGTGAGGACACATAATCACTGTGTTCCACCTAATTTGCCTCAACACTGGATTGGGCAACGCGTCTGCTTTCCTGAAAATTGGGAGTTGGACAGTGTTATAATCCTGCAGGTGGATATTGTTTTCCTAAGCTATATTTGATTATCGATTGGTTGGTTGATGCTGGGAATTAAACCAACATCATATAATGCTTTACCGCTGACCTATACCCTCAGTCTGACAAGTGTCTCTGTGCAATCAATCTTTATAATAGTTCTGGGTAAAGGCCTGTGTTACTTGGGGGCCAAGTTCTAGAACCTACTACAGTGAGCCTCACACATAAGCCCAGAACGCCACTCTAGACTAGGCTCAGTCATCCAGATGCCCAGCAAGCCTTCTGTCCCTCTCTGAGAGTCTCCCCAGCTGTATATAGAACAAGCAGTTGAAGAGCTAGCTGATCACAGGGGAACACACATTCAAAGGTCTTCACCAGGCAGGCCGATAATGAAAATGAGTGGGACTGGCTGGTTAGATTATAGGGCCTGATGGCACTGAAACTTGTTGAAAATGCTTTACCACCAAGTGACTTCCCAGGACTGGAGTTGCCAAGTTAAGAAAAGCCAGACGCCCAAGTTCTCTGTGAGAAGTCCCCCAATTTAAAATTAATGATTTTAACAAATAGCACTCTTTTCTGTGCCAACTATGTGTGGGCCATGCATCTTGAAAATGAATAAAGAGTGGACAAAACCAAGCTGCATATGATGGCCCATGCCTACAACCCCAGAACTCAGGAGGCAGAAGCAGGAGGATTGCCACAAGTTTGAGGCCAGCCTGGGTTGCATCGTTGAGTTCCAAGCTGTAGCTGTATAGCAACAGAGTGAATCTACCAAGGAGTTCTGCCTTCACAGAGCTTTTGTTCCAGTGGCTAATGAGCAAATAAGAGATACACACTATGGGGTATGCAGAGGACCTGAGTTCAATTCCCAGCACCCACATCATGCAGCTCACACCCAAGTGGTAGGTATCTGCCCAACGACTTGGTGTAGTTATCTCACTGAAACTTCAAAAGACTTTGTTAAGACTTGAACTAAGCCAGGCATGGCTGTGCCTGTCTGCATTCCAGCACTCAGGAGTGAAGGCAGGAGGATAATAAATAAGTCACTTACACCTCAGCCACTCTAGCCCTGGAGTCTTCAACTGTAAGGAAAGACTAACACTGCCTTTGTGACATTTTATTAAATGTTCAAAGATACATGGAAGCTTTGTTTTTGACATACAGAATCAGGGTCTGGGTCAAAATCCCTTGTCTACACCTCTGGCAGGTGGAAAGTGCACTCCGGGGGCCCCTTGTGGTTTAGCCATCCACATGTTCAGGACTGATTCCAACCAGTCCTTATCAGGCTCTTCATTGCTCAGGGAGGGAGGGAGGGAGGAGGGGGCCCTCTGGTCTGGGTTGGGTGGGTCCTGAGAATACTTGGAGCAGGTCTGATAGGAATTACTGGTGTCCTTTGGTCCAGCCTGTACAAATATGTCAGGACCAACAACCTGGGTTTGAGTCCTGCCCCCCCCATCTTCCCACTGTGGCCTGGTACTTAACCTCTTGTTCCCCAATACCTCTAAAAATGAAGATTAAAGCACTAACCTCCCATGGGCTTGTGGGAGACATTGAATGAATTCATGTTAAGTGTTTCAAGTAGTATCAATACATAGAAAGTTCTCTTTTGGGTTAGTAATCCTTTTTTTTTTTTTTTTTTTTTTTTTTTTTTTTGTTTTTTCTTGGGTTTTGT